CTTCAGTGCATGTACAAATTATACATGAAAATGTGTACATTTTTTTATCTACTTTCATCAAATGTGTCACTCACTGCTGTGAGGCTTACACTATTCTCTCAAATCCCCACTCAGCATATAGAGTGCACACCCACACCTGCATAGACTTCAGTTATATTAAAGCTTAAATTGATCTCGTTAAAACTGTAAATGAATGGTTGTTTCCACTGGTCATATCTCCCACTGCAGAAACATAATGTGTGATTACCAGTCTTCTGCCACTCATAGTTCAAAAACTTTAAAAATACAGCTAGAAGTTTGAGCAAAGCAACTGTTTGTTTGAGGCTTACTTTTTACTGTGTTTCTGTCTGCCTCTTTTAAATTAGCTGTTATCAGAGAAAGACCATGGCGATCCTATACACCACAGGCAGCAGCTTTAAGATTTTTTTCTGGTTTTCTTTACACCTCTTCTACAGTTTCTACTCAACATGCAGGCCTGTTTTGTAGATCAGGATGTTGCGAAGCTGATGCTGAATTTTGGGCAGTGTTGGTGCCCTTCAATTTTATTTCATTATATTTTTTAGAATTATTTCTAATTCAAAACAGCAACTTGCAAGTCAGTTGAAATCCCTGTATGTCTCATCAATCATGCGGCAGAGCAACAAACAAAGAGCCTTGCAGCAAACAAGGCAGGCCATCGCTCAGAAGTAAAGTCATCAATCCTAATCTGCCAAAAGAAACAACAAACAAAGTATTAATTATTTTTAGTTTAAGAATTTAGTTTTCTGAAGATTTGCCCGTTTTTAGTGTATCAGAATTGGCAACATGTCGCCCAAAAGATATAATCAGGAGAAAAATAAGGAGGAACAATTGTGCAGGATATCAATCTCATATTTGTTTGTTCACTGCTTAAATCATCAAACATTTCAAATATAAAAAAGCATTTAACAAAAAATAAACTGTGTATTGTGTCCATCAATCCATCCATCCATTATCTTTTCCCGCTTCTTCTTTTTTGTGTCGTGGGAGTCACTGGTGCCCATATCCAGAAGTCATTGTGCGAGAGGCGGGGGACACCCTGGACAGGGCCACCAAGGCAAATCCCAAAGGGCTATTTCAGTTCAATTCAGTTTATTTATAAAGCACCAAGTCACAACAGAAAATGTCTCAGGGCACTGAACAGAAACATTCACATGCATTATAAAAGCCAATTAGTAAAGTTGTCTTTCTAAGAAAGCCAGCAGACACGTTGAATCTTCACTTTGTCGCTGTCTCCCATCCTGAGCAAGCACAAAGGCGACAGTGGAGGAAAAACTCCCTTTAACAGGAAGAAACCTCCAGCAGAACCAGGCTCAGGACGAGCGGCCATCTGCTTCAACCGGCTGGGTTTGAGAGGACAGGTAGAAGAGGCAATTTGCAAATAAATTTGCATATTAAAGTGTTGTCTAAAATTTTTTTTCATAAAAAATGACATTTTCTGGATAACTGGAGCACAAAAGCTGAAACTACTAGACTAAAGTTTATCTGCAGCAGATAAAGAGTACGGTATCTGAAAGTCATTTCCCTATTAAATATTATTTTTAAGTCAGGATCTTTAAGGTTTTGTGTTTGTTATTGAGTTCATGCATAAAGTTGTGTTTTAGCCATGTTTCCCTTGTTGTTATGGAGAGCTTTGTCTCATCAGGTGTTTGTTTCCTCAGCCTTTCCAGTTCTAAATACTCACCCCTCCCTGTTTAAATGGTCCTCTGGCCCTCCTGTCGGTCCTCAGCATTTACCTCCAGTTTTAAAACGTTGTCATTAACTAATGAAGTCAATTCTGTTAGCAAAACATCTCATGAGCATGAGATCTATGAGCATGAGTATTGCATGAGTCTCATGCAATATACTGAATCTCACCATACATATAAATGCATTTTCTGCAAACTTTTTAAAACATCAAGAAGTGAATAACTTTTGGATTCAGATCGATTCAAGATGGCCTCCAGAGCCAGCTAACCATAAAAAACAAAAAAACACAAAAAATAGTCCTAACTCAGCCAATTTTACAGAAATTTAGCAAAAAATGTGTGTGTAAGTAAGTAGCTGAGTCAGCTCAACACATGCTCAAGAAGGACCATCAGCCTAACAATGGATCATTAGCACATCAGTCATCAGTGTGCTAATGATCCATTGTTATGCTGATGGTCCTTCTTGAGCATGTGATCAGCTGGTTTTGGTTGTCAGCAGCAAAACTGGTTGATCCACCCTGAGACGGTGCTATTTAAGAGACTGAGCTGAATACAGCTCCTCAGACTGAGGAAGTCTCTCGGATGAGAGACGAAACGTTTCTACATTTTTTTGTTGATTTGCTTTGTTTAGTTTTTTTGAATGTCCAGAGGACCAGATTTAACTTTTTTAGACAGCTGACATTTTATTTGAGAAACTGAAGAATGATTGATCAGGACTTTGATAAATTACAGGAAAGTGGCAGTATGGAAACTAAATGCAAACGAATGAGGGGTGACTCAAGACTTTTGCACAGTATTGTGTATTTATTTTATCCTGATCATGGTTGTGTGGGGGTGTATCCCAGCAGTCAACAGGTGAAATGTGGGGCGTCACCTGCACATTACAGCCATGAAGGTTCAGGCCAGCAGCCTCTTCTTCATCATTCATCACAGGAACCATGACCTCAGCCTCCAAAAGCTAAAAGTATTTAAGCAAAATATTACTTGACATGTTTAAACATCTGCACTAAAACATTAGGAGGCTGATTCATCCAGCTAAACGTTCCTGGGACTGAAGACAAAAGTTTTTAAGAGATTAATTTATTTATTTTATTTTATTATTAATAAATAAAAAAGAAATGTATGTAAGATTGAAGAAAGGGCTGCAACCAGGTGGCATCTTGGAGTTAACTCTTCTGGTGTTATTGCGCTATCTGCTGGATTGAAGCACTGCTGCAGCGTGGCGTTGACCAAAAATACATTTAGTTACAATCTGACATCAGTAGCTCTACTCCGAAATAAAACTTTCATGTTGTACAGTTTTCAAAATGTCAGCTCTGCTTGTTGAATATTTAATGGGTTATATCCTAGCATACATTATATACTTATACATATATATATATTTTTTTTTATTATATATACATATTTTTTTTAAATATATATGAAGTAGCTTAGTGTGTTTTTTGTATTAGAATTAAAAAAATTAAAAAGAGTTATTCATTTTGTTCTGTTACTTGAAAATTATTATGATTGAACTAATTGTTTGAAAAAAGGGGCAGATATAATAAGATTTCTTCTTCTTTCTGCTGCCTTTCATTTTAAATCTCTTTGTATTTTATTTTTATATTGTTATGGAATTGTTTTGTATTTTTTAAAATGAATAAATTTTATACCATACCATATACCAGGTATACTGAAAATAAATGTTTTATGTTCATGCATAGTATCTATTTTAATGCAGTTTAAACAAAATACTGTAATATATTAGCAATAAACCAGTTATATATATATATATATATATATATATATATATATATTCCATCTGTACCTTTTTCAGATTTTATGTACGCCATATGTCCTTGGTGTGTTTTGTTTGATGCCTTTTTAACTAAAATGACAATTAAAGTATGAAGTGTGCAATAAAAAGGTTGTTAACAACAAATTATTATCATTTTATTTTTTTTTTACAAATGTCGCATGTTAATTGAACATGCTTTAAAACAGTAAAAACATATAATTTACACATGTGAAGTTTGTGTGTTTCTCCAATAATTATAACAATATTTTTATTACAGGGATAAAGAGTTGATGTTACTAGTTTAAGAATTGTGCAAATGGTGGGAAGAAAAAAGGAAAAACAAAAAATATAATTTACAAACAACAACAACAATATCAAACATAAACTAGAGAAATTGCATTTCCTGCGAAAATGCAGTGTGAATGCTTATTGCTGAAGAACTTGCTGAAAAACAGCTGAAATTAGCTCAAATCCTGCTTAGCTGATGTACAACAAGCCTAAGTTAGCAGAAGAAAGCCAAAAGAACATATTTGCTGAATTTAATGAGAACAAAAATTAAGAAGTTAGCTAAAAAAAAAGCTGAAATTTGCACAATGTAGCTGAAAAGTATAGCTGAAAAGGCAGAAAGAAGCTTAAACTTAAAGAAGCTGTAATGAGCTCCAAAATGTGAAATAACCTGAAAGGCTAAAATTAGCGTAAAAAGATATAGCAGCTTAAGTTAGCAGAAAAAAACTGAAAGGAGCACAACAAGCTGAAATTAGTATCTAAGTAGTTAACTGGGCTGAAAGAAGCAGAAACCGCCACACAAATCTTGAATTTGTCGAAAATAAAAACAGCTGAAATTAGCTTAAATGCTAAAAAGCTATAGCTGAAAAGGTAGAATTGGCTTAAATTAGCAGAATAAAAAAAAATGTTTGCTCAATTACGTTGAAATAAGCAGAAATGAGCACAAAGAAGTGGAAATTATCTGAAATGTCGAAATTAGAAAAAAACTGCTGACTGCATAAAGAAGCTGAAATTACAAAAACGAAGTGGGGAAAGAGCAAATTTTTGCTGAATAGGCTGAAAAAAGTTGAAATGAGTGCAAAGAATGTGGAATTACCTAAAAACATCAGAATTAACATAAAACAGCTAAATAGTAGCTGAAATAGCAGAAAAGGCTGAATAAGCAGCTGAACTCAAAGTTGTTATGTGTGAAACTGAAACAGATTTGTTTCATTTCTGGGAATGTTTAAAATCTTATTCATGCTGAAAAGTTCACATTCTGCCTATTTATTTAGTTTTTCTACACATATATTTTCTAAATCAAACGTGTTCAATACTGTATTATTTGCGAATGAGCAGAAAAGCAAGAATAAAAACTCAATAAAACTCCGCATTGGGTATTTTTGTACGTTTTATTCTTTCTCAGGGCCAAAATGAGAGGTGTGTTGATGTTGGGAGCAGAGGACAGGAGCAGCGGGACAGAGACACGGAGGACGGGGACAAAGTTGGACGGGTTTTGTTTTGGTGTTTTTCACAGCAGCAGCAGAAGAAGAAGAGTGGAGTCCGATCGAGCAGCGGCGTCTCTTCCCTCTTCCCCGGATCCTTTCAAAACTCCCTCCCGAACCTCTCCCCTTCTACCCTAACCACCCTGTCCACCCCCTGAACACACCCCACGGCTCGGTTCGGGTAAGACTTTCAGAAATTGGGCTTTTTGTGTGTTTTCTTTCAGTTCAAAGTGAAGGACGGAGACAACTCAGTACACCGTAGGCCGCGGGATGCGACTATTTCCTGGAACGGACGATGCTAACGCTAGCGCGCTGAATGGAAAATTACGGATTTAACCAAATGACTGTCCACGTGTTAGTTGCTTCCCTCTATGCTTTAAGTAAATTTAAAAGACGGGGTGTTTTAACCGATTTATCCAGGCTGCCCTTTTCTTTAGTGAGTAGTAAAGAATTTAGAAAGTTATTATAAGCATTTCGATGCTAATTTAGCCTCCCAAATCATGTTTGCGTGATTCACAAATGGGTGTGTTTACGTTCTCTAGTTAGCCCTGTTTGCTGCTGTCCGCTCACTGTGGCTATCCAGCTGCTGTGAAGTGGTTAAAGAGTGTAGTTAACATGCACTGAAATCCTAAAAAGAAATTTAGAAGTTAAGTCGCCACAGCTGTTCAGTGTCAGGAAGTAGACGCGGCCTGGGGAACACAGTGGATCATTGTGTCCAATCTAACTTGAAGCACTGAGCTGAAACGCCTCATTCTTTCTAATGTTGTGAAAGTGCAGAGTAAGAAGCTCGTGTAAAATGTGAACTGTGTGCATCACCATTGATCTGCTCTGACTGCAGTTTCATTAAGTCAACAAAAGCTCCACTGTTTGTACACGATACTTTAGTCCCTGACCTGTTTGTTTGTCCACTCTCCTGCAGACATTTCAGCCAGTAACCAAAAGCTCCTTGTGTTGACCATTGTGTGTGGACTGAACAGCAAACAACATGGAATCGAGTCTTGTTGAAGGAGGACTTAATGTCACCTTAACCATCAGGTTACTCATGCATGGGAAGGTGAGCGTGACTGCAATCATTGCACAACTTTTTTCTACTTTAATTCAAACTTATAAGGGAAAAACGTTGTACACTAGCAATTATAAGCTTTTACAACTTTATTATAAGGTGTTTGTCCAACTAGTTTTTCCAGTACTATATTGGGGATTAGGCTTAGGATCAGAGTCAGGTTAGGGTCAGAGCAGTACAATTCTTGACAACTATAAGGAACACCTTTGCCTTGATAATTTTCTTGTTTGTGTGTAAACGGTAAAGCTCTTCTCGCGTCGTCGTCCCTGATTTCCACAGCTTACAATAACCCAAAAACTTGGTATTTTGTGTCAATAAAAGAACAGTCATTGCACAAGTGATCTATGGAGAGTTTGCCCTCCCAACTTTTACTGAAAGTACAGTAATCCTCGATTATTGCAGGGGTTGCTTTTCAGACATCACCGCGATAGTTGAAAAACAGCCAAGTAGGAACGCTATGTACTGTTAAGTACTGCAAAATTTTATATGGGTACTCACCAGCTCTGCAGACTAGCAGCTCGGTTCCGGTCGGGCTCGGTTCCGGTTCGGCAGACCTACCCTGCAGCGATGAAGTCCACCGCCCCATCCAGGTTGATGTGCGCATGGATAATTGAGCTTCAGGAAGCTTCGGGGTTATTAGACTTTCCTGCCTGTTCTGTGAGCTTAATAAATAGATCGTTACTTCTGACGTTGCGTTGCAAAACTTTCCCTCCATTTCGGCAGAAAGCAGCGGCCAAAAACACGGTTGGGTTCTGGGCCATGTAGTTCTGTTGACTGGCGTTAAAACACTGTAAGCTTATTTAAAGAAAGCTACAAAATGGCGGTGCCTGTCTGAAGTTTTTTTCGTAAACTTTTTATCCCATACCGTCCCAATCACGTGAGTAATATTAACGTTGACAGTCGTGTACAATTTTATGTTGAAAAATCGCATATGAGCGAGTCCGCAAAAGTCGAACCGTGAAGTAGCGAGGGAGTACTGTACCTTTTATAAAGAACAGTTTCACTCAGTATGAACTGACTCCAGCGCTTTGGATAACACTGGTCCTCTTCTTTTTTTTTTTTATGTCTGAAAAATTTAATAAATTTCACCTCAAAGTGCTGCTCTTTGAAGAGATTTACATATCAGGGTGAGTTTGTGGTTCTTATACACATTTAAGCAAACTTAAAACCCAAAATGATTTTCTAATTGGATGCTGATGCTGCTTAATATTTGGTTTTGATGCTAGCACACGAGAGGAGCTGTATCCCTGATTCTTGGAACATTTTTTCTTCTTTGGTGCTGGGTTTTTTTTTGTAACCTTGTGGAAAGTAATTTGCAACCCACTGAATTAGTTGATCGTACTGTCAGACCCAGTAGCTGGAAAGCTGCAGAGATTCTCCCATTCTGGTTAGGAATCTCTTGGGCACTGAAGTACAGAAGCCTAACTGCCCTTTCCCTCGTGCCATGGGAAGAAGGAACAGGTGGGCCTGACAGAAGAGCCGCGAGGACTCCTACACAAGCTGTCAGGCATTACTCCCGATTTAATAGAGTCACAGCAAACATGAGGCTTCCTTATACAGACTGAATAAATTAAATTAATCTCTCCGCTCTCGTTTTTTATGGCTTCCTTTTCCACGATTTTGTATTCTACGTCTGATCTCAGCTTTCAGTACACATGAAGATCTTGCATGTCACTTATCAGCAATCACTGGCACAATTTCTAAATAAATATGTATTTAAAATAAACATTTGTACACCCCCCAAAACACTCTAAAATCAGCCTTTTCTTATCAGATTTGTCTTTTAATCAAAGAAAGTGGGAGCTATGAAGTTTTCCTTTTGCATCACGCTGCAGAAAGTTGGAACATTTGATGCTGCGAGTAGAACATTGTGGAAGCTGAGACAAAACCATGCTGCTCTAACTGCAAATCAGGGGTAGGAGTGTGAAACTAGTTTGGCCACTGCTCTTGAATCAGATCAGGATTTTAAAATCAAGCTTTTTGTCTCAAACCTTGCTGGATGAGAGAAATGGGAGTTTAGGGGAATGTGGAAAATGCTGTTTTTATTAACATGCATTTTTGTTCTTTCCTGCAGGAGGTTGGAAGCATAATCGGCAAGGTAAGGGTTTCGTTTTCTTTTTTCTTCCTACAGAAATGATGCTATCTTCTCTACATTTCTCTGTGTGCTTTTTAAATCTTACATATCATTGTTTTCTCTACAGAAAGGAGAGTCGGTAAAAAAAATGAGAGAAGAGGTAAAAAAAAAAAAAACTTTTTTTTTACATGATGTCAAAAACAAGAAGAAACTTGTTCATAAATGTTTTGGCTCAAGCATTATAAGATTAAAAAAAAAAGAAATGCAGGTTTTTGTAATTGCTTTCATTCCTGTCTGTGCAGAGTGGCGCTCGCATCAACATCTCTGAGGGGAACTGTCCGGAGAGGATCATAACCCTGGCAGGACCCACAACCTCAATTTTTAAAGCCTTCTCCATGATCATTGAGAAACTGGAAGAGGTTGGAATAGCCTCTTGGCGTCTTTGTCTAAATAAAGCAGCAAAGTCTAGATTTTTAAATCCACCTCTTATACCACTTCATCTGCAGGACATCAGCAACTCGATGACCAACAGCACGGCCACCAGCAAGCCACCAGTCACCATGCGTCTCGTTGTGCCTGCCAGCCAGTGCGGCTCACTCATCGGCAAAGGTGGCTGTAAGATCAAAGAAATCAGAGAGGTTTGTCTCCTTATCTGTCTTCATGTGAAGTTTTGAGTGTGAGATTTACCCTGAGTGAGTGACAACTGGTGTGTGTGTTGTCTTTCTGTAGTCAGCAGGAGCTCAGGTACAAGTAGCAGGGGATATGCTGCCCAACTCAACAGAGCGTGCCATCACCATTGCAGGGACCCCACAGTCCATTATCGAGTGTGTCAAGCAGATCTGTGTCGTCATGCTGGAGGTATGAACTGTGATTAATGTGACATTAGCAGGGAAGTCCCGATCAGATCGGGATTACAGATCAAGGCATTTTTATTGGTCCGTAACTATTTGGCTGGTGGTGTCATTTTCTGATTCAATGATGGTTGTGCTTTTTACGTGCAAACTTTTTACATGTAGGCCACAGATGATGTAACAGTCACGTGTACTGATACAGAGTTAAACAAAGCAGTTCTGATTGATTTATCAGGCCAAATATTAGCAAATATTTCAGTCATTTGCAAATCAATCACTTCTCTCTGTTCCTCTCCCCCCACTTCTTTCTCACAATGCTGCTGCGCTGTCAATCACATGACACAGTGCTGAGATGTAAACTCTGAAGCTCTGGGCTAAACATCAGCCGAGCTGTAGAGGCAGTTACAACATGGACAAAAATCAAAGCCTATGTGGAAAATTTCTGTGGTGACCGAACTATCTCCACTTTGTTTTTCCTGTGTGGAACTTTTTCTTAGGTGGTATAATGGATAAGATCAGGAATGAGATCATCAGAGGTACAGCACAGGTTGAACAACTGGGAGATAAAGTTAGAGAGACCAGACTGAGATGGTTTGGACATGTCCAGAGGAGGGACAGTGGTTTGGACATGTCCAGAGGAGGGACAGTGGGTATATTGGTAGAAGGATGTTAGAAATGCAGCTGCCTGGAAAAAGACAAAGAGGAGATACATGGATGCAGTTAGAGAGGACATGGAGGTAGTTGGAGTGAGGACAAAGGACAGAGTGAGATGGAGAAGGATGACTCGCTGTGGAGACCCCTGAAGAGGGAAAAGCTGAAAGGAGGAGGTGTACAAGCTGCCATTACCTGTTAGCAGTATTTTCACATCATGGTCCCTAATGAAGTAATGCAATGTTAAAGCAGCTCCACTTGAAACCTAATAGGAGCATTACACTGACCTGGAGTTATGCTTGTATTGTTAACAAGTAATATGAACAAATATGATTATTCAGTCTGGCTGAAAAAGTACAAGGAAGCACAGCTGCATCTGTGTAGCAGGTTTCAAAAGTATTGGAAGTAAATACTAATACTCATTATTGACCAATTAGTTTTAAATGACTTGGATTTGTATTGGGACAGTCAGTGGTGTCACTTCAGATTTTGACAGATCTTTCTACTGTTTTTTTTCAGTCTCCACCAAAAGGAGTGACCATCCCGTACAGGCCCAAACCCTCCGGCTCTCCGGTCATCTTTGCAGGTGGTCAGGTAAACAACAAAAGCCCTTGATTGAAGAAAGGTACTTTGGGACAAAGAGCTCAGAAGTGTTTGGTTGTCCACGTTATCACTCCATAGAAGCTGGTGTACTACACATAGCATGTCCAACTTTGTTCTCATCACACACTGAGGACAACGGACAGATGGATATTAGAGTACATGGTGGTGTAACTGTGCCACTTCCCTCCTAAGTGCTGTTCTCTCCTTGCAGGCATACGCTGTCCAAGGGCAGCACGCCATTCCACAGCCTGATGTAAGTGAAGGGCCCTCTGTAAGTGATTCAATATATTTGCAACTTCGGTCCTGGGAAGCCATGCCATTATTTGATTTTTATTTATTTATTTCCTGCACCCCTTTCTGATCAACACCTCCATTTGCCAACGTCAGAAACCATAAACCCAGAATCCAACTAAACTGTTTAAAAACTTAATGCTACATCAGAGGTCCCATGTTACATTTCACCACTTCTGCTCATCATCACTGCACCTTCTTACAAAGGGGGAATTACTACATTTCAAGTTAGCAGTACATTTTTCATTTGTTTCCTCATTTTATTTTTCCTTTCCTTGTGTGTTGCTTCTGTGTCCCTCCCCTCGTTGTTTCCAGCTCACCAAACTTCACCAGCTGGCCATGCAGCAGGGCCCCTTCCCCATTGCACACGGTAACCAAGGCTTCCAGGGTAAGGTGAACATGCTGTGGAATGGGACTTTTATTTATAATTACTAAATATTTTTTATTCTTTACTCTCATTGGTGGTTTCCTTATTTGTGAAGCTGGAATGGATGCCTCTGCACAAACAGGCTCTCATGAGCTGACCATTCCAAACGATGTAAGTCACTTGTTTTATCACAATATTTTTTAATATTTTGTGTGTATTTTCTACGTTTAAATTTTTGCAAAGAAAGATGGCTTTTTAATGCACTCTAAATAACTTTTTAATAATTTATTCTCAACCCCCAGCTCATCGGCTGCATCATTGGTCGTCAGGGCGCAAAGATCAATGAGATTCGTCAGATGTCAGGGGCTCAGATCAAAATTGCCAACCCGATAGAGGGCTCGACTGACAGACAGGTCACCATCACTGGCTCCCACGCCAGCATCAGCCTGGCTGAGTACCTGATTAATGCTCGGTAAGAAAAAAACTGCAGTGTGTCCACAACACTGTTGGTTGTTCTTTCAGCCTTTGGGTTTTAATTGTTATACCAGTTTCTTTTCATATGTGCATTAACCAGCTGTTGATTGTCAAGAAAACATGGGTTTATATACTTTCATTATGAAAAGTAATGGTTGACTTTAAAATGGTTAAGCTGGCGTGTGCATTGTGTATGTGTGGTTGAAATGTAGTGTTGTAGCAGCTTATATGTACACAAACTGTCAGCCTTTTCTGTTGGGGCGTAGCTGCTGTTTGCATTTTGTTTTGTCTTTAATAAAAACAGTTTTCTGACTTGTAGAAAGTGGAAACTGGAGAATAGATGTGTTGTTGCTCAGGAAGAAAGAGCATATGACTCTCATTTGGGGGTTATTCCCAGCTTTCCTCCCCCTACATGTTCCGGGAAACCCCTAGAAGAAGAGAGAATTTATCTCAGTGGAAACATTGGTTCAACAAAGAATAAAAAAAAATATACAAAGATGTGCCAAAGCTTTTTCAATCCCCAGTGACAATAAAATACGATAATTCTTCCAGTTTACCAAACTGATGACGTGCCACTCTGCTTATAGAAAAACATATTGATTCTTAAATAACATTAATTTGCTGCAGTATATTTAGAAATCATCATGACTTGTGTTTTTATCGTCTCTGACAAAATGCCCGCTCGCTGCAGTCACAGTAAAATGTTTTGTTGCTAATAGTGTGATGGCCAGTACCAGTACAGGATCTGTTTTTTTTTTTTTTCCAGCCAAACACATGAACCTTAGATGGCACAGACCTGCAGCCAGCTCACTTTTTTATTCTATTTATTAGTAATATGAGAGAAACACACATAATTTTGTACAGTTAACACACAGTACAGCTAGTGAGATTTTCCTCATTAAATTTTATTTAAAAATGGAGAATCTTTGGTAGGACTGTGACTCTGATCAAAACTCTGGCAAGATACCTTTCCCCTGCATTTTTCACGAGGTGGAATCAAATATATAGAAGATTTTTTTTCTATATACTCAAAAGGCCTTTTTCTCTCAAATATTGTTCACAAATTTGTAAATCTGTGTTAGTGAGCACTTCTTTGCCAAGATCATCCATCCACCTCACAGTTGTGGCAAATCAAGATGCTGATTACAGCATGATTTTTGCACAGATGTGCCTTAGGCTGCCCACAATGAAAGGCCACTAAAATACCGGTATGCAGTTTTATCACAGCACAATGCCACAGATGTTGCAAGTTTTGAGGGAGCGTCAAATTGGCACACTGACTGCAGGAATGTCCGTGTTCAGAGAATTTGGCAAGTGTAGCCACACAAATAAAAAGGTACATAGTTAGGTTGTGTACATAGCAAAAGTCTTAGATCTTTGAGTTCAGCTCAGAAAAATGGGAGCAAAACCAAAAGTGTTATGTTTCATTTTTATTCAGTACAAGTCTCATTAGTTAAATGCACTCGCTGACAAATAAAAACCACCAATGGGCACATAAATTTAATTTACAGGGAATTTGGCAGGAATGAGCACCAGGGGGCACAAGTGAAGCATTGTGTTATCAGGTAGTTACCAGGGTTCCCAACAGTCAAACCTGTGTGTGAAATTCTTCAGAGAGGACGCCTCAGACACTTCAGACAGCTGCAGTAGCTCTTGACAGATTGTTAGGGATCACGTTTCAGGTTTGCATAAACCAGATGGTTGTATTGTGTAACTGCCTAACGTGGAACAGACTGATGTCACAGTGACCACCCAGTGTGCATGTGAGAGCACTCACTGTTGAGAGGGTTTCAGTTACCTGTGACAGACCACTTCAAAAGGAGATTGTTGTGTTGTGGATCAGTCATTACAACCCTGTAGGCAGCACACCTGACCTGATATCCAAACACAGATGTTAGACTCTTTACAACACCCTGTTTTGTTTTGCTCATAGTCCATCATGGACCAGCGAGTAGTGTTGTATGATCTGTGATAAGTCTTCATTCTACATTTCCATGAATGATTTGGTGTGCACGTGTGTCCAAGGAACAGGGCCAATCCTGCTAATATTGTGGAAAGAGACACACTGGCATTACTCCCGTCATCGCGGTGTAGGAAGGAGCCACGGAGTGTGACTTCAGGTCACGTCTTGTTCAGGGGATGTTGATGGCACAGCTCTGATGGTTAGGTCTGCCACGATAAACAAATCAGTTAATCGCATGATAAATGAAAATGATCGACCTCGTTTTCATTTATCGGCTTTATTGTTTCTTCGTGTCTCTTTCTACTAAAGACACTGTCTCTTTTTTCTCTTTTCTTTTAAACTTCGTTTTTAACGATCCAAAATCACATTTTTGGATTGTTAAAAGCAGCTAAGATGAGAAGCTAAGCTAACAGGCCGACCTCAGGGAAAAAACCTCCATCTTGTCCAAGGTCCAAAATTCATGGTTGAAACCCATGCCTTTGTCTAAAAAGTTGTTTATCTTTGCAAAAAGAAGCTGAGAACTTGTTTACTTTTTTAAAATTATTATTATTAAAAGCTTTATGTGAAAAATGGTATGCTAAAGAGCTCAAACCACACAGAGCATCCGCCATTTTGAGAACCAAAGAAAGACAGCCCATGTCACGTCAAGGGGCCTCCCTCCCATTTTTCTTAAAGACACGCTGCTCGCTCCCTCACTATCCATCCCTCGGTTCAAACAGTCTTATACTGCCATCCATTGGTCAAAAAAGGTACTACACTAAAATAAATTATCAACATTTCTTCTTAAATTTGATAATAATTACTAATTATTGTCAAATTTCAAACAATGTTATCGTTTATCGCAATAATTTCTGAGACAGTTAATCGCCCAGCAAAATTTGTTATCGTGACTGGCCTACTGGTGGAGACATTTTGGGTCTGCATGTCTTACCCCTCCTGACACAGCACCCTGGTACAACTCCTGTCCACACGGCATGTACAGAATGTCTTAAGGACTGCCCGCGTCATGCTGAGGTCCACGTGGCTGGACAGCCTCGGTTTTTATTTGAAAATTTCTTTCCCCAATTGAACGTGTGGGATCAGGTCAGATATCAACTCTGACCCCAGTGTGGATCTACAGAACCTTGTGGACCAGTCAGAGCAGCTGTGGGTCGACGTGCTGCGTCAAAGAATACATGGTTATCCTTGTGACTCCGTTCCACACAATGGTTTTACCGTGTCGTGCACCTGTCCAGCATGTGGGCACACATCCCCTTTGGGCGACAGGGCTACCTCACCTTATAGACCAGGAAGCAGCTGTGTGCTTTTTCTGCCATCATCCATTTGATCCAGTAATGTAAATATTGCTATACAGTCATGATCGTTCAACACGTGAGACGGAGTGATGGAAATAAAATGAAACCCGAGTGCCTGAACTGTTTTTGTCATTTAGGGCTGTGTTTTCAAACCATGAATTAAACCTAACGTTCTTTGTTTTTTCATGCTCAGGCTGTCTTCAGAAGCCACTGGACTCGCAGCCAACTGACATGGAGGATCTTCATCAGCATCTAATACAACCCCTCCCCCTAATTTTTACCAAGAGGTCCCTTCTTGAACTTAATGCAAAAACCAAGTACTATAAACTCACTGTTTTCTCCTGCTTTGGTTAGACACCTCCTCAGTTGTAATTATGCCCTCGCCAAGATATTAGTATTTTATTTATTTATTATGTTTTAAATTCTGTTGGCATATAGTTTTCAAAGACTTTCTTCAGTTGTATTTTTTATTTTTGCTGTATATCTGTATGATTTATCTTGATATACTGAAAAAAAAATGTTTTAGGAAAATCTGAAAAAGGCATAAATTATGTTTTTCTTATGTCAGATTTTTCTTAGAAAATGTTAAAAATGAAGAAAAAAATAATATAGTTGGACTGTTCTTTCCCTTCTTTTTAAATATCTATTTATTTTTATTTAATACACAGTACCTTGTACAAGTAGAATCCAATATTTGCCATTTGCTATTTGAAGCTGTACTTCCTGATCAAGGCATTGTGGGTTTAACGGGTTTTAGTGCGTGAAAAAGAGCTAATCTTGTATTCAGGACAAACTTTGAAGGCAACTCTTCATTTTAAGCTACGTCGCATCTCACCTCTAACTTGCAGAATAATGGTTTTGTGTCATTCCTGTTTCCATCCGTTTTGTTCGTCGATCAGGACTTCTTGAGCGTTATGTACTGAATTCTGATGGTGTTTGGACCGTGGTCACAAGAAGTGGGCCTGAAAGCAAGGAAATTAATTACAAAGACCCTAATGGTGACGATGATGACATTGAAATGTTTGTTTTAAATAGAGTAAATATTTTTTTTAACTGCAGGGCTGGGGAATGCTGCAAGGGGCAAAACTAAAATGCATACTGTCCTTTATAGGTATATTATGCTGAAGTATTAAATTATGACTAACTAGAAGGAGAATTATAGAACTAACACTAGTTTCCTGCTAATCCTTTTTTGCCTGGGTCAGATTTTATTTTTTTTATTCTTTGCAGGATGAAGAAACACGTTTTTTGTGCACGTTTTCAAACTATTGTAGATCTGGGTGCAATTAAAATGTTGATGAGATGAAATGCAGAAATAAAAGATGTGAAATGCTTAAACGGTCCTTGTTGTTTTTATATTCACTGCTTTATGAAACATGTTGTTACCTATAACAAGTTATTGACCCAGCATTCCTTAAAGCATATTTAATGCCAGAGCTGCAGACTAGGTTAATCTAGTCTGCAACTTTTTTGATCAAAAGAGCCATGTCTGCCCCTTCGCTCACTAAATGTGTGGAGCCACAAAACCTGCTACAGCTGTGATTATCAACTGATGGGCCACTAAATTTGTTAGAAGGGGGCTTTTCTGGCCAGTGGGGGTGACAAAACAAATTCTATGGATTTGAACATTTATTGATATTTTTTTACATTTTACAACAAAATGTCATGCAAAGAAGTAAAATATTTATGGTTTACACCGATCTTGATAAAAATGAAACCACTGAACTCTGCAGGCCTGCGTGAGGAATAATAAACATCAGGCAGGGCTGCAGTAGCTCGGTGGTCAGCGCTGTGGCTTTGTAATCCTGAGCCCAGGTTGCCTCTGGAAGGGCATCAGGTGTAAAACAAATTGCCAAGTCTTTCTTGCGAGTGGTGATCCCAGAAGAATGGAGCAGCCAAAAGAAATTACTAGGTTAGTTACTACAATTTCCTGCGGGATCAATAAAGTTCTTATGTTACTAGTAGTTATCGGGCAAATATTTGACAATAAAACTGACAAAACTTTTTTGTTGTGGGTATAAAAATCAGTTCAATTAAACTTCATTAAGTTTTGATCAAAGCTTCAAAGAGCTGCAGATGAGAGACTAAAGAACCACATGTGGCCCCAGAGCCGCATGTTGCAGGCCCCTGATCTAGAAAAATGACAGCCATTTTCACTCAACCATTCACACTCTGACCTAGGGACAATCCATCCATCCATTTTCTTTACCCGCTTATTCCATTTTGGGTCACGGGGGTCGCTGGTGCCCATGTCCAGCAATCACTGTGCGAGGGGCGGGGTACACCCTGGACGGGTCGCAAGTCCATCACAGGGACACATAGAGACAAATGAGACAAACAACCATTCACTCTCTCATTCACACCTAGGGACAATCTAGAGTTACAAATCAGCCTAACATCAGTTTTTGGTTTGTGGGAGGAAACTGGAGTACCTGGATAAAACCCACGCATGCACGATGAAAACATGCAAACTCCACCCAGAACTGCCCCTGGCCGGGATTCAATCCGGTGACCTCGCTGAGAGGCAGCAGCTCTACCAGCTGTGCCGACCTGTAGCTGAACATCTGTAGATTTTGTAGTCTTTGTGTTTTGTTTCTAGTTTTTGTGTCGAACGTTGATTATAGCTGTAGTGGCCATCTTGATGGACGTACATTCAGTGATTAATTAGTTTAATTAAATGCAATGATTGCTATCAGACGGGCAAAAGGCAGCTGGAGAGAAAACTGTTCTTTGACCCAAGGGAGGTGTAACAGGTACATACAAGAAATGACGCTGGAACATTTTGAACATGCCTCAAGTCTTTGAAAATATTCATTTATTTCTCGTTCAGCTGTCTTATGTGATGCAGCAACAGTGCAATCGTGGCTATAACATGATCCATCTTCATAAATAAACTCCACACATTTATTTTTTTTATCCACTACATTAACTGTTGCTCAGATACTCTGCTGTTGATATTATTTCTATGTTACAGATGCAATGCTGTATAAAAAGAAAAGAGCTCCTTAAACACAAAGGATACTTAACTTTTCTAGTAACAACCACAGAGAAGTGCTCTACTCCTGCGTTTTTCTTAAAGGGTCAAAGGAAACAGGTGAGGTTTTTAAGAAGTCTGCAAACTTCATGAACTGCAGGAGCTCTTTAGGTTTGTCACAAAATGGGGACTCCCTCCTGTTTTCACAGAACTGCTGCGCTGTTTTAGCTGCTTTCATGGAAAATAACCAGAAACTCTCAGACGTAGTGGCGTTCATGCAGTTTGTTAAGGTTGTAAGCCCTTCGCTAACCCTGTAGCCAGAAAAAACAAAAAGACGTAATTGAGTTGAGTTTACGCCATAAACATTTCATGTTTTATTAAATCTTTGGCAAAATAAAGAAAAACCCTGAAACTTCAGACTACTAGCAGCTATATCAGCACACATTCTGGTTCCTGTATGTGCTGCTGAGGTTTTCCAAGTCAAATAATTTGTGAAAATGTACAGCAAGTTACTCCTGCTTTGTTGGTTATCATTAGTTGAACATTATTCAGAGAGCAACAATGCATTGGTGTGATACTTTAGCAAAAACAGTTTGTTCCTTCAGATGTTTAGGATAGCAACTCTAGGCCATTTTAACCTTTTAAATTTTTTTTATTTTATTTTTTTATTTAGCCTTTATTTATACCGGTTAGTCTCATTGAGCCATGAGAACTCATTTTCAAGAGAGACCTGTTTAGGGAGCACATGGTGGGGGTTAAGGGCCTTGCTCATGGGCCCAGAGTGGGGCGAATGAGGGTGGGGGCGTGTGGGTGTTTCACCTACCCCACCCACAATTTTGATGTTGTCGGGGCCGGGGCGTGAACCGGCGATCTTCGGATCACAAGCCCACCTCTCTAACCTCTGCGCCACCACTCCCCCAAATAATCAGTTCTGAGGAAACTGGAGTTCTGTGGAAAAGTTTGGAGCAATTATTGTCTTAGATGTTGTAGATAACTCATAGAATGGCCTCAGTTTGGAGAAATGGACTTTAAATTTAACTTGAGAAACTAATGGTTGGCTCAAGAACAAAACAATGTAACGCATATATATATATATATATATATATATGTGTGTGTGTGTGTGTGTGTGTGTGTGTGTGTGTGTGTGTGTGTGTGTGTGTGTGTGTTTTGTATTTTGTTTTGTTACAGAATTGCGCCGCTCAAGGTGGCTGCATGTTGGAGTAGCTCTCTTTACATTTCATTCTGAGGTTTTGATTTTTGAAAACTTTACTCATTTTTCTGGATGTAAATCCTTTTTTTCGGATGATTACTTCCTCTGGTATCAGATGTTGTGCCGGTGGAAGGATTTTTACTGAAACATTTTTTTACTTTTGGCCATTTGTTATGATGTGTAGCCATAACAACAAGGTGGTTTTCTACAACTGGGAGCTGCTGATTAACATCTCAAAAGTTCAAATAAGACCTCAACTACAGCCCCAAATCCCAAATAAGTTGAAAAGGAGGTGCCGTGGATGCATTAGCGTCTACCTGGAGGCTGTGTTCGAGTACCTAACTGCCGATATCTTGGAGATAGAGGGAAACAGGGCTCAGGACAGCGGGAAGACAGAGATCGTCCCCCGGCACCTGCAGTTAAGTCCGCGGCGACGAGAGGCTCGGCAGGCTGCTGCAATGGCCATCACTCGGGGAGGAGTTCTGCCTGACATTCAGGCAGTCCTGCTGCCCAAGAGGACCGAGAGTTCTGCTGGGTCTGGGTGGACGGATCGGCATCTGCAGCCAGTTTCTTCAGATCTGCTGTGGGATGGACTGCTACAAGAGATCCTTCCTGCCAAAGCCATCAGCATCTATAACAACTCTAATGAAACCAGGATGAGCTACAACCAGAAACGCTGAGTTGTCAATATATATGATCTGTTTTGTCCCAATTACAGCTGCCTAATAAACCAGAGATGATGCTATAATTAAGGTTTTAAAGCAGTAAAATCAAATAGTTTTAGAAAGGTCATCAGACCTTGTATTTATGCATTAGTGAATCTAAACCTGCGCAAACATTATTCAAAATAAAATATTTAAAAAGAAATGCACAGCACCTACAACCTCCAGATAAAATCAGTTAACCTCACTTTCAACTATTTATTTTAGGGGCCATTTCAAATAAACCATGCTAATAATTGCCAATATGTGAGCACAATTTCGTTTTCAGACTTTAATTTATGTATATTTGTAATTTTGTTTTTGAAGACTTGACCTTGAGTTTTTGTGATGTGTTCAATCAGCAGACAGATGTTCCTCACACACCATCTGATTAAAAACAGGTGTCTAAAACAGAAACACAAAGTTCTGTGCAGACATTTGAGCTTGCTGAACCTCGTCACGTGGTGAACATACAGCAGAGGTGCACTTCAAGTGGACCCAAACGTCTCCCATATTGTCACTGATTTAGTAAACTAACTAAATAAATAAAAACCTCTCGACAGCACTACAGGTGATATAGGTGCATTAAAAATGTAATTTGTGGAAAAAGTTCAAGTTTTTTTGTCATTCATTTCAGAATGTGAAACTCATACAGTATATAGATTTATGACACATAAATGAAAAATTCAAGCCTTTATGTCTTATAATTTTGATCTAAGTAATATGTGAGTTTCACTTTCTGAAATTCCTGACAAGAAAAATAGAACTTCTTCACGATATTCAAATTTTTCTAGACGCACCTGTAGAAACTCAGCAGCAGGCTTAAAAAAAGCACTTTCTACTGAGTTCCCTATAAAATGCATTACAATTCATGTTTTGGTGAGATTTTCATTCACTTTAGAGTTTTTCTTTTTTCTTTTTTTTACTTGAGTGCTGACATTTATTAACCAAAAAAAAAAAAAAAAAAGATAAATAATTAAAAAAATAACTTAAATACGACTTTTAGGGTTAAAAAAGTGTAAACTTTCACAAAATAGAAAACAAATGTATCCAAACCATAAATTATAAACGTTTAGTCATGCATTTGTTCACAGGGGCTGCATACAGTTAAAGTCTTACATTATATCTTACAAATAAAATAAAGTTAGATATTTCTCATGTGGAGTGGAATGAATATTTACATTTTTTTTGTCATTAGTATCTGATGCATTCGTGTGTGGAGGATCATGGAGGATGCTCCCAGAGTGAAGGTGCTCAAAAGACTAAGGGTGGAGGACCTTCTTGTGCGAGCGTGTGCGTCTTGGTGGAGGTTTTTGCTGACATGACGCAATGGCTAAGGTTACTGTGGTAACTATTTTGAATAAGACACCCCTACTTAACTTAAATGACATATATATGTGATTTCACAAGCTGCCAAAATATCTAATGTCAGGATATGACAAATGTCCTATGTCATTTGATGCAGGATTGCCCGCCAGCAAACGTACGAGACACCAAGGTAGTCTGAGTGGGGTGGTGGGTGTGATCCCTCATGGTTACAGTAATGTACTGCACTGACAGGTTGGTGCACGCCTGTGGTGGTCGCTGGAGATCTTTGCTTGTGTCCAGTGGTCTATTGAGGTCCTGTGTGGGGGGTCTGAGAAGACCCGTGATACGGATGAGATGGTGACACCCACGCTCCGGCGCTGGGAGGCCGGCTGGGCTCTCCGCTGCCTGACTGGTCCAGCTCAGCACTGTCGCAGTCAGAATCATCGCACAAGGCCCGGCTCTAAAAAGAGAAAAGTCAGTACAGAAAATATGTTATACACGTGTCTTTGGAAGGAACAGAACATTATTTTTCTAGAAAATTCTCCCAAGGCAGCCATGTTACATATTCAGGTATGCAAGTGCAGCATTGGGCAGCACGGTGGCGCAACTGGTAGAGCTGCTGCCTCTCAGCGAGCAGGTCCCTGGTTCAAACCCTGGTCCAGGGGCCTTCTGAGTGGAGTTTGTATGTTCTCTCCGTGCATGCGTGGGTTTTCTCCGGGTGCTCCAGTTTCCTCCCACAGACCAGCAACATACATGTTAGGCTGATTGGTAACTCTAAATTGTCCCTAGGTGTGAATGAGAGAGTGAATGGTTGTTTGTCTCGTTTGTCTCTATGTGTCCCTGTGATGGACTTGCGACCCGTCCAGTGTGTACCCCGCCACTCGCACAGTGATTGCTGGACATGGGCACCAGCGACCCCAGTGACCCAAAATGGAATAATCGGGTAAAGATAATGGATGGATGGATGAAGTGCAGCATTTTGAACAATTTGTCAAATCAGCTTCTGCAGTTCAACTCAAGGTTTATTAGTTACAGTACATCTGAGTTTTCTGTACAATAAAATGACGGTGGTGCAAAGATTTGGGGTAAAAATGGTTTTCATGTGCTGCAATGAAACTTTTGAGATCAGAGTTGTTTCAAGACAGCAGCATTCCACAAATAAACTCTTTTCACGTGCTGTTCAAGACATTATCTATGACAGGGAAGATATTGAATGTTCATAACCTCTTCACAAAACCCAAGTGTGATGTGAGAATGTCAAGGATCTCATGGGGGGACGATTCTGTAAGGGACAGATTCTAATGGGAGATGTCATGGAGGCAAGAAGGGACGTGATGTGTGTGTGTGTGTGTGTGTGTGTGTGTGGGGGGGGGGGTAGCCATCTAAGATTTTGACAGGGCAACGTAATTTTTTAAAGGAACCAGGAACCCTTCTTACGGTAAGGAACTATGGTTTTTGCTTCTGATGGTTTTAATTCTGATGCCCAAGAGTTAAATGTTTGTCTGGTTTTGCGCTGATGATTTCCCTTCCTGGCTGGACTCCACCAGGTCTGTCCCTTGTTTTCAATCCTGTTTGTGGTGTTCATAGACAGGATCTCAAGCAGGAGTTATGGAGAGGAGGGTGTGTGGTTTGGAAACACCAGGGGCTTGTCTCTGCTTTTTGCAGATGATGTAGTTCTGATGGCATCTTCAATCTATGACCTTCAGCATGCACTGGGGCAGTTTGAAGGTGTGCATGAAGCAGCTGGGATGAGCATCAGCTCCTCTTTGTCTGAGGCCATGGTTCTCAATTAGAAACAGGTGGAATGCCCCTCCAGGTCGGGGGAACAGTCTTTTCCTCAGGTGGAGGAGTATCTCAAGGTCTTGTTCACGAGTGATGGTAGAATGAAATGAGAGTTGGACCAATAGGTTGGGGCCGTGCCTCATGAGGATGTCGCATCAGTCAGTTGTGGTTAAAAAAAAAAAAAAGAGAAGTCGAAAGGCAAAGCTCTCGATATGTCTCTACGTTCAGAATCTCACCTATGGTCATGAGGTATGGATCATGACCAAAAGAAAGAGGTCCTGGACACAAGCGGCTGAAATGGGATTCCCTTGTAGGACATCTGGGTTTCTCTCCTGGACCTGTTGCTGACTTGACCGCAAATAAGTAGAGGGTGGGTGGAATAATGTCCAATCTTAACTGAAACACTTGAAGATGTGTTTGGGACATTCTGCAATCAAATATATAAGTGCAACCTTCACAGCGGGGCAAAGAGGATCTATGAGAGGATATGTTTAGGCTCTCAGGTGATTACTGTATTTTTATAAATTATTATGACACAGTTTATTAAAGTTATGCTTTATGATAAACACCTGTCTGTGGAATTCTCAATAAAATTTAGCATTTTTAAAAAATATATGGTCAAAAGGGGAATTATGTATCACTGTTTATGTATTTCTTTCATTTTATGAGGTAATTCAATTCAGTTTAACTTATTTATTTAAATATCGCCAACTCGCAACAGAAGTCATCTCAGGGCACTGAACAGAAACATTCATATATAAAAATAATAAGTTAACATGATTTATCTGAGGAGCAGACTGATTTGAGTTTAACTCCATCACAGACTCTCATCTTGAGCAAGCATGAAGGCGACAGTGGAAAGAAAAAACTCCCTCATGAGGAAGAAACCTTTAGCAGAACCAGACTCAGGACAAGCGGTCCTCAGCTTCGACCAGCTGGTTTTGAGAGGAACAGGAAGGAGGAACAGATACACAATGGCAAGTCAAGTATCACGTTAAGATAGAAATAGTATCAAATGAAAACTATTCAATTTTAACAATTAATTTAAGGAAATTAGGTCAATTTGTCCTCCAGTAGTCTAAGCTTAAGACACTATAACAAGCCAACCCTAACTATAGGATTTATCAAAAAGGAAAGTCTTAAAACTGGACAACGTTTCAGCCTCATGGACAGAAACTGGAAGTTGGTTCCACAAGAGAGGAGCCTGATAACTGAAAGATCTTCCTCCCTATCTGCTTTTGGAAACTCTAGGAACCGCGAGTAAGTCTGCAGAGCGAAGTGCTCTGTTAGGAAAATATGGAACATTAAGATCTGTAATATAAGATGGAGCTAGGTGGTTGAGAGCTTTGTAGGTTAGACGTAAGATTTTCAATTATATTCTGGATTTGACAGGGAGCCAATGGAGAGAAACTAAAACTGGAGAAGATCTCTCCCACTAACTCCAGTTTAGACTCTGGCAGCAGCATTTTGGATCAACTGAAGACGTTTTAAAGAAGTATTTGGACACCCAGATAATAAACCATTGCAATAGTCCAGTCTAGATGTGACAAATGCATGAACCAGTTTTTCTGCATCATCTTTAGATAAGATGTTTCTAATTTTAGTGATATTACGCAGGTGGAAGAAGGTGGTTCTAGTAACGTTTTTAATGTGGGGGATAAAAGACATGTCCTGATCAAAAATAACACCAAGATTTTTAACATTAGAGCTGGAGGTCAGATTAATGCCATATAAGGAGGGAGAAAGACTAAAAAATGAATTCCTAAGGTGCTCAGGTCCAAAAACTAAAACCTCAGTCTTGTGTGAGTATTGTGTGTTTTGGTCTTAGATGTCTCACACAGAGACATGCAAACCTCTGCGGAGCTTCTTTACCTCATTAGGATTCTGGCCAGCATCTAGCAGAACTTTGCTCTGCCCCACAGCTCCATCCTTCTCTGACAGACCGTCAGACGCCTGCGTAGGATCGGTGTTATCTGCTGGGATTTCTGACCCCTGAGAGAGAAGGTCATCGCTGCGGTCGTCCAACTTGTCGTCAGTGTTGGTGCTGACCACGTCGGGGGTGCCGCTGTGAGAGTGGTCAGTGGTGTGACCCTCCTCGCCGTCCGACACAGACAAGTTCTCTGAGCTGAAGGTGGAAACCGACTGGCACTTGGTGATGCTGGTCGGACGCCTGATGAGACAATCAGCACAATATTTAGGAAAATCTGAAGACGTGAAAGAATGACGCAAATACAAAACTATTCTTAGTTCTCTGAATAAATCTGTCACTTGTCAGAAGATGTTTAGGGGAATTTCCAGTGACGATGGACAGCGAGTTACTCACCGTCTCCGTGGTAACTCAACCTCACTGTCAACTTCACCCTCCTCCTCTTCAGATGACACTCCACGTCTCTGTAATGAGAAACAAAAAAAGGCTCAGTGTCTCAAGAGTGACGGTGAAGGATAGCGACATATTTTTACTGCACCTGTTTGCGTGTAATAGCTGCCCTGTACAAAATGGCTGAAGGTGTGAGATGTTGAGTCCCAATTCCCCCCGACGCTCCTCGAGGTAACCTCACGACTCCGACACCCTCGTCTTTGTCCTCTCCATCGTGAGGAAGGCGAGGGGATCCCGGGGACCCTCTCCCTGCCGCCGCTCCTCTCCCACATGGCGAGTCTGGGCTGCTGGAGAATGGGAACGACACAGCGTCCTCGCTGGGGGTGTCGCTGCGTGGTGGAGTTTCTGTCAGATCATCTAGACCTGCTGCTCCTCCCTCTGAACCCCCTAAACCAGCAGAGGCACTGAGGCTGCCCCCTCGCTCCAGTCCGCTTGCAGAGGGCTCCCCTTTTCCCTGGCCCTCGGCCTCCAGGGTGGTGCAGATGAGGTCGGGGCTGGAGGAGGACAGCTGCCTCTGCTGCTGCTCGTGGCTGAGGCCCCGCAGGGCTGCTGAGGGCTCCAGGAGCTGATTGGAGGTGTTGGTGCCGGTGCTGTTAGTCTGGGGACTTTTGTCCCTGTTAGGGGAGGACTGGGTGGCCTTGAGTCCAGCCAGGTCCCCGCTGCTGCCCTTTCCAGGCTTGCGATGGCGCGTCTTTACTCTCCGAGATCGGCTGGGAGACGTGGAGCCCCGGTTGGAGCAGGCTGGGATGGTGACTTGCATCACAGAGGAATCCATTTTTGGAAGGATTACCTCAGACTTCAGGATGTCTGGCCTAAAAGAGTAGAAGGGGTTGGTCAACAACTCCACAAGACACGTATGAATCCACTTTAGTATAAATCTTTAATCAATACGAGGCTTAGTGTTCTTTGAAGAAATGAAAGTGGCCTGTCACCTTTCATGCCAGAGTTTTAGACTAAAACCACCTCATGTGGAGAAATGATAAAGTTGTAGCCATTTGTGTTAAACTTTGAAGAAGAAAAAAAAGCAGGATGTGCAATCTCATGTACTAATTTGTGTAATTTCATTTGATTAATTACCACCAAAAGTATGTATTGTGACTAACTCTCAGGTACTACTCACCTGATTTTACCCTAATATCTATAAAATCCATCGTGGTGGAGCTATCTTGTGTCGACTAAGGTAGATTGGTTGCTGGTAGAATTGACTCTACGTGTTATTCAGCTGTAATTTTACACTCACTAATTAATGAGATGTTCATAAAATTTGTCATGTGGTCCATGAGATGATTTGCTAACAGACAATAAGCACTGACTCCAAGAATACCGACGCTAAATACTGAATGAACCGAGATCTCCCACCTCTTTCCGGAGGGCAGTTTCTGAGGGACGTTCCTCTTCTTAATGAGTTTGTCCATGGAGTTGGAGGAGCTGCTCTGCCTGGAGCTGTGGTGTTTGAACAAACTTGGATACTTTTTATCCAAAGACTGCTCTCTCCTGAAAGGAAATGAAAGAATTAACATAAAAACTCCCTGATGCACACAGATTTGAATTGCAGATCAACATAGCTCTGTTTCCAAACGTGTTGTGGTGAAGACATGTGTACCTCTGCAGCTCTTTCTCCTTGAGCTCCAGCTGCAGCATCACAGCACTGAGCTCCATGTAAAGGTTATTAGCCCTCTCCAGTTTCCTCTCGTAGTGCTCACGGATGTCCAAAGCATGCCTGAAAATACAAAGAGGAGGATCGAGTTAAGAGAGCATCCAGATCCTCTTGAACAGACGCATCAGGGACAGCAGGAAGTGGGACGGAGGGAAGGGGCTCCATCATGGCCGGTGCCAATAATCGGACTGATTTTGCCTTTACATTGGATCAAATCTGTGAGGCGTGCAAACCTGAGCTCCTCTCTGCGCCGGTTGATCAGTTCCTCGTCAAGTCGGTGGAGACAAGTGCCCTCGGATTTAATCTTCTCAAAGTGCTGTTTCACCTCCTCTCTCCATTCAGCCTGATGAGAGCAGAGTTCTGTTAACCTGCTCTGTCCGACAGGAGCAGACATTAAAGCGTTTAATCGAACTGATTACCCTGTGAGGGTGTGCGTGCGTGTGATTGTGTGTCTGTTTGTGTTTATTTACAGTGATATGCAAAGCTAACTGTGATGAAGCTCTTGTTTAAAAAAGTATTAACGTGGCATGCAAACTGGTTTCATTTTTGTATTTCACCGTGTTCAAACAAGAAAAAGCAGAAGCTTGAGCCCCCTGCTTATGAAAATAACATTTAAAGTAAAACATCCCTGAACAAAAAAGTAGCAGTCACTTCAATACCTTAATGTTGAGTAATCTCACCTACACTAATATATTTATGAATACTATCTACTGAATTTTACTATAACTAGACAGAGGGCTGGAAGCTGGAAGTTGAAGCCTCCATAAACAAGCGCCCCCTAGTGTTTGGCTGCAAGATATTTTTTTAAATCCCATTTCTCCATGTAATCAAATATGACAGGTCTTTGTTCAGCCTTTGGCTCAAAAACAACAAGATGGCAGCTCCCCCCCAAAAAAAGAAGACATTTTGTCTTCAGTTTTGAAAACAGGAGGAAGCTGAGATCATCTATCTTTGGAAACATTAATGTTTTATCAAAGACAATCATGCCAAGGTTAGTTACCTTCTCTTGAAGTTGTATTTGTGTGGATTTTAAAAAAAATCAAATTATTCTATTTCTGTGAGGTTATTGAACTTGTCTTGCAATAGCAACTTTTCCAAACTTTCCTCAGACCTTTGAACATACTTAGTTCATACATAGCCATTGGACTTCCTGAAGTTCTCCAACTTCTACAGTGTTTATTTAAAGCTGAATTTTGCCACAACTTCACCACCATTCTGTGCTTGTCTTTTGCAGTAAAAGAAGGTTTTGGTTTGTCACTTTAAGCTTTTAGTTAGTCCTATGCTACTTTTACATAGGGTTTTGCTTTGTTTAGCTTTTAGCTATTTTTTTTTTTTTTTTAGCGTTAATAACTTAGCTTCAGCTTCTTCACCACCATTTTAGCAAAGTCAAAGAAACTGTCGTGATTTATCTGCATCACAAACTGAAGGAGAAAGCTCCCAGGTAACATTTTGCCATCTTGTTGCAACGTTCTCCTGCTTTGTGCATCAGGATCCGTGTTTTTTAGTTATTTTTTCTGTAGTCTGCGTTTATTGTTAGATTTATCTCTTTTTAGTTCTCATGATTGTTTTGTGATCTTTGTGTGAAGTTCTGTTCGTTTGTGTTGTTCCCAGTGAGAGTATCACTTTCCTCAGTCAGTTCCTGCCCCGCCCTCTTACACCTGTTCCCAGACAGCATTAGTGTCACCTGCTTTTAATTTCCCTCCAGTCCATTTACTGTGCATGCTGATATTTCTCCTACTCAGCAGTCAGTCACTGTGTGCTTCATGTCCTGTCTGGTTTTCATCCGTGTCGCCCTCGGCTGTCATTTAGGTTGTTTGTAGCTGTAGCCGCCATGCCACGCACTTTGATTTTCTTTAATGAATCTTTTTTTATTCAAGCGCTTCGGTATTTGTCTACATTCTTTGGTCCTGCTACACAAAACCCAACATTGTGAGCACTGAGTGTTTTCATTTACAGAGTTTTAAGCATGAAGATCAACCAACAGCTGTTGAATAATGGGACAAAGTTGAGCGTTTATAATGTAAATCCCAGATTTTCACTTGACTTTTCATGAAATGAAATGTGGAAAATTTCTCTAAGAAGGTAAATAAGCTGTGACACCTCAGTAAAGAGTCTCCTAGACTTGAAGAGTTTCTTTATTTGCATACTTTTGGGTGGTTTTGTACCTCTTTCTTTTCTTAAAAACTAAAATAGCGCACTGTTCGTTTACCATTTTGTTTTTTGGTGATCAGACACTGCAAGAGTCAAACAAGAACTTTACCTCAAATCTTTCTATAAAATATCCTTTGTTCAGTTTTAGGTCATACAACAATGATAACCAAACAGAAAGGTAACCATACCTGAGACTTAAAGTATGTTTCCTGTGGGGTGGACAATACATCAGCAGATGCTATATCCAGATGAAGAAGGATCTGACGAAACGAAGGCCTATTTCTGGGCTTACAGATCCTGCAAATCCAGATTAGGAAACACAGCTGTGTACACTCACCATGGAAGCAGTGTAAAATCAATAAAGCCTATAAGTTCACTCCTCCTCATGCAACTCCAACACATCTCTCATCTCATCAGTCCTAACTGTCCATTTCCGAGCGCTGCTCACCAGCACTGTCTGAGGAGGATCTTGAAGCCGTCCGGGCAGCTCTCAGGTACGGGCAGCTGCAGGCTGTTGTTTCCAACACCCCAAATGATGGCAGATGAGTCCACGTCTTTATAAGGAACCTCCCCAGTGAGCATCTCCCACAGCACCACGCCAAAGGACCTTTAGGATGAGTCACAAACATTATTTAACACTGTTCCATTGGGATAAGATAGACTTATTTATATTCCATAATTATATGCTGTATGTTCATAATGTCACACAGTTTTGTGTGTGTGTTTATTATATTAGTAAAATACCTCATGAACTGTCAGATGTATTTTAATAAATCTCTCAGAATTAAATTATTGGATGAACTTCTACAACTGATTAATATTTGGAGTCAATCCAATTCAAGATGGCCACCACAGCAAATTGACATGCGAGGACGCCAAAATGTTTATAAATCGGTCAGTTTTATTGATAATGAGCTAAATTGCTATTTGCTATTGTAGTGGTTGAAGGTTATCCCCCAACACATACTCCAAGAGTTAACAACTCACACCAGACATGTTTTAAAAACGTTACCATTATCTATTGGGCTCGGTCTCTGTTAGCAAAATACATCATGATGATACAAGATACAAGATGAACCTTAATGAAACTTTTTGAAAATAATCAATGAAGCTGCATCCACAAGTGATTCACATTTGAAGTAAATCTAATTTAGAGATAGACAACTGACCTTAGAAAACCCTAAAATGGCTACAAATCAGCCTATTTTACAGATAATGAGCTAAACTCTGGTGTGGTAGAAGCTGACATGCATTCACAACACATACTCTGAGTGCTAAATGCTTCGTAACATCTTTGCTTGAAACGTCGCCATTAACTGTGTGGGTCAGTGTCATTTGTCTGTCAGCAAAATGTCTTGTGAACCACTCAACAGACTGTTTGAAACTGAAAATAAAAATAGAGCTGGTTAACTTTTAGAGCCAACCCAGTTCAAGATGGTCACTGACTTTTGAAAACACAAAAAAAGGCAATAACTCTGTCAATGGTCATCATCACCAACTTCAAGTGCTTACAGGTGGAGCAAAACGTCACAATATGTGAACAACAAGCTGTAACTCAGCTCTATCTCCGTCATATCTGAACAGAAGATGCCTTCAGTTCAAAACTCAAAAGGAAAAACAGAAAAACGCTCATCGGACTCACCATATGTCCACCTTTTCTGACACAGGCTCGTTGCGAATGACCTCAGGAGCCATCCAGGCAACGGTGCCGGCAAACGACATCTTGGTGCTCTTGTCGCTGAGCTCCTTTGACGTGCCGAAGTCAGAAATTTTCACCAAGTCGTCATGCGTGATCAGCATGCTGCAGAGGAAACATAAAGAGTCGGTGCTGAACTTCCAGCTCAGAGAAGAAGAAACCTTCCTCTGACAGCATCCTGAGTCTTACTTTGGAGACTTGAGGTCTCGGTGGATGATTTTGTGGAGGTGTAAGTAGTTCATGCCGCCCGCGATGCCCATGGACCATTCGACCAAGAGGGAGGGGGTGATTTTACGGCCCGCCCTCAGCACCTCGTACAGCTGGCCCTGGGCACAGTACTCCATCAAGATGCAGAAACAAGGAGCCTGGGTGCACACACCCCTGAAAGGAAGCAACGCAGCCAGAGAACGAAGCGTTGGTGAAGACAAAGGAGCTCGGTCAGAGCTAGATGCTGAAGGGTCGTCGCAGGAAAACATTTAAACATTTCTCACTTGAATGTGATGATGTTTGGGTGCTTGAGTTTTCGAAGGTGTTTGATCTCCGTCTCCTTGACGTCCCGAACTTTCTTCACAGCCACTTCTTCTCCGTGCAACTTTCCGAGGAAGACGGCCCCCTGCGCCCCGCTGCCCACCCACTGGAGGTCAGAAATCTCTTCAAAAGGAACCTCCCAGGACTCTAAATTCAGAGAAGCAAAGAGAGCAGATGTTTAAATGTGACACCTTTAAATGTTTCGGAGAATAGTGATTTTCTTTTAGGAAGCTCAAATGATCACCATCATCGAAACGCTTCCCCAAAATCAACCTGAACTCTTGTCAGAAATGGATGGAAAATAACAGATTCTTGTTACACATCTGGGCACAACTGCATCAAATGTCAAATGATTGATTAATTGGCTACTTGGTAAATAGACTGGTAAAATTTTTAGTGCCTTGGAAAAGTAATAATCTTGTCACATTATATCCACCAGCTTTAAAGTATTTTACTGGGATTGTATGAATGACCAGGGGTGTCCTAACTTTTTCATGTGCGGGGCAAAATTGTTAAAATGAAATTACTCGTGAGCCACATTCATTTGAGTTCAAGATTTTTTTTTTTTAAGCATGCTTTATGCGTTTGTTTTTATCAACAATGTGAACAAAATTTTGGAAAAAAGACAAAAGTTTAATAATATTTGTTGAAAAGGATTTCTAAATTGTTGTAGCTCCAAAACAAAAAGACCTCAAACATTAACCTTGGTAAAATAAAATAATAAATAAAATAAATTCCTTTGATTTGTTGAGTTTATTTTATTTTTTTTGTTTGTTTTCTTGTACTTAGAAAATGTATTTTTTGTTAAATTAGTCCAATTTACCTTTATTAAAATTAGATTTACTGTACTAATTTTCTTTGCTCAAAATTACATCATTCTTAAATTTCAGTCCTGGGTCACTCAAAATCAATCCAAGGGTCACAAATGGCCTGCGGGCCACACTGTAGACACCCCTGTGACAGACACAAAGCAGTGCATGTAATGAATGCAAAATGATACATTATTTTAGAAGTGTTTCACCAATAAAAATATGAAAAGTGCCGCATGTGTATTTATATTCAGTTCCCTTTACTCTGACTGGCCCAACTCAAGTCCAGAGCTAACAGTTGCTTTAAGAGGTCACCTAATAGATTAACAGAGCCCACCTGTGTGTAATTTAATCTCAGCATGAATCCAGATGTTGTGTGAAGGCCCCAGAGGTTTGTTACAGAACATTAGTAATCAAACAGCATCATGAAGACCAAGGAACACGTTAGACAGGTCAGAGATGAAGTTTATGAGAAGTTTAAAGCAGAGTTAGGTTATAAAACAATATTATACGCTTTAAACATCTCGCAGAGCTCCTGCAGTGCAACTGCAAACCTGCACAGACATGGCGGTCTGCCTAAACCGACAGGTGGTTCAAAGAGAGCTTTAATCTGAGAAGCAACCAAGATGCTCCATAGTATCTTTGTAGGAGCTGCAGAGATCCAGGTGGGACAACCTGTCTACAGAACAGCTGTTAGTCGATGACTCCACAAACCTGCCCTTTATGGAGGAGTGGCAAGAAGAAAACCCTTGTTGAAAGAAGACCTGAAGTATCCAACAATTTTCAGTCAGGTCATCTGGACAGTTTCTTTTTTTTTTCTGAAACGTTTCAGCTTCCATCCAGAAGGCTTCATCAGTCAAGGAAACACACAACACAAAGCTGATTCTTCCCCAAACAGCTTACTCCAAAGTGGAACAAACCAGTTATGTTGGTGCTAAGATGGTGAAACGTTTCAGCCAAAAAAAAAAAAAAGAAACTGTCCAGATGACCTGACTGAAAATTGTTGGATTGTATACCTGGATTATTGAGCATGGACTTTTTTGGTTAAGACCTGAAGTAGTTCTGTTTACAGCTCGTAGGAAACACAGCAAACATGGAAAATGCTGTTCTTGTCAGGTCAGAATAAAGATGAACTTTTTGGCCTGGATGCAAAGCTCTATGTATGGAGGAAGACCAACATTGGGGGGGGGGGGGGGGGGGGG